TGTTTTCAGCCTGGCTGCTTTGATTAGCCAGGCCGGGCAAGGGTCGAGGGAGGAGGTGGTGGCTCGACAGCGGTCAAGCAACTTGGTCACAGAGTCAGGCGTTACCGGCTGAAAGGAATCAAAAGTTACCGGGCAAGATGGAGCGCTGGACATCTCAGCTCAACTCACTGCATTCAAAAAAGGAGAGAGCTCCTGGCGGATGGCCTCCACTTTAGATTTTAAAAATGCTGCAAATTGGTCCAGTGAGAAACTAAGGGGAGGCCCATCTCCTGGACCAATTCCGGATAGGTCGCACACTATATGGAATAGCTCTGCCTGCTGGTTGGACGCTTCACTTATCCGGTTAGCCAAGAATGATCGACACACAGCCTTTACCTTATTCAGGTAAAGGTTAGTTGCGACCTTAACAGTTACCCAGTTACGATCCGTCGGGTTCTTTCTCCATCTACGCTCTAGCCTTCTCCTTATTCGCTTCATCGCTCGAAGCTCCTGGTTAAACCAGGGCGCCGGGCGAGTTCTGTGCTGGAGCGGGCGTTTGGGCGCGATCGTGTCTATGGCCCTGGTGGCAGCGGCAGACCAGTTGTCAACCAGAGCGTCAACAGGAGCGCTAGCCAGGTCAGCCGTAACACCTCTCATGGCATTCTGGAATCCAACCGGATCCAGTAGCTTTCAAGGGCGGACCATAGAAATAGGTCCCTGCTCCCTGCGAGGGGGGAGTGCCACTGTGAGGTTAATTTTATTAGGTGGTGATCTGACCATGACAAGGGGACTGACACAAGGTCCGTCACCACCAGATCACTCTCGCTCCAACTGGAGGAAAAAAACAGGTCCAGCGTGTGATTTAGTCCAGTCGTGTCCGACTGTAGGGCACATGTTTTATAATTTTGTTGCTGTTGTTCCTTTCTCACCTGAACCCCAATTTTTAAAAATTCCATGCAGGATGAATCTCCTACGTCAGGTATCTCGAGTGTGGAAAACAGATGGCTTAAACTCCTGCTCCTATAAGTTGCTCTCCGTGGAATACAACCCTTTGTACACAAATATCACAGTGGATTTTGGCAGGCCAATGAAGACTTCCTTGCCAGCTCTTTAGTACCTAATGAATTGTATCACAATGAGGGGGGAAAAGAGAACTTCCAGCGTCAAGAGCTGCAGCAGTTGAATATCCAGCCTTCTGTTGATGGCTTCCTAGCAGCCAAGTACATGATGAGAATGATAGGGTTGGTGTTTTTTCTTCTCTAGTAGGTTTGCTAGATATTTCTTTGTGGACCAGACAGCACCAGTCATTTGGTGATTGGGGTTTACTTGAGAGAGGCCTCTTTAAACCAGTCTTTTTTTGGGGGGAAATCCCCTTTCTGAGAAGGGATCCAAGTTCCACTGTCCAAAACCTATCAGTTTTGATAGCTTGTGTTGAATCTCCACTCTTCTGAAGTGGAAAGAGGGATATAAGGACAATACTGCCATACTTTTTCAGAGGTGCAAAATCAAGGGCTTTTTCATTCAATGTGTTTTTAAACAGGACAACCATATTTAAAGTAACTGGTTTTTCTCCAGCCAATCAGCCAAGTGCTTTGGCAACATCTACTTCTGATGGAAAGGTGCATAATACTGTCTTGTAAGAACAGCCACAGAAAGAGTAAGGAAAATGCAAACTTTTTCAATAAAAATTAACATTTCACTGAAAACATTCCCTTGTCTTAGTTTAGCTTTCTAGTCATTGTGTTGGCTTAAGAATGTGTGAGAATCACATTTAATTCTACAACTAGTTTCTAATAATAATTATGGCTTTCATTATATTGATTTAAGGAGGACAGCAGGAGAATGGAAAATGAACCACTATTCAAAGAGGCATTGTAACTGCTATAACCTTGGGTGGTGAGCACGCTGCCCATATGTGGAATGGTCTAGAAATTGTATTGTTAACAGTTCATTGGATAGCTGTTAAAAACAAGAAGTTGAAGCATTTAACCCCTGCACATTAATTCTGGTCTTTATTAAACAAATAACCTAACGTAGTTACTTCTTATCAAGATTTTGGTGGGGATGTTAAAAAGGAAACAATAAAAACTGTGTCAAGAGTAATACTGTTTGTGCCTCACAATAGATGTATATTTCAAACAGTTTAAATACAGGATGAAATATTTTACAAACCGCATATAAAAAGTGTAAGGTAAAGGTTCCCCTTGACATTTAGTCCAGTCGTGTCCGACTGTAGGGCGCGGTGCTCATCTCCTTTTCCAAGCCATAGAGCCAGCGTTTGTCCGAAGAGTTTCCGTGGTCACGTGGCCAGCGTGACTAGACACGGAACGCCGTTACCTTCCCACCGAGGTGGTACCTATTTATCTCCTCGCCTTTTACATGCTTTCAAACTGGGTTGGCAGTGCTGGGAATTTAATATCTGTTTATGTTACAGTAACCAAACGGTGTTTATTATAGTCCTCAGAACCTAAATTATATTGAAGTAAAGAAATCAAGGCTTCTGTTGGGTGCTCTGAAGAGAATATTGCTGTTTCTAATTCTATTTTATTGAGGCCTATCAGAAAAATATGCCTGAGTATTTGAATAGGATTTCCAATTCTCATTCCTATTGTGTTTCCCCGAAAATAAGACAGGGTCTTATATGAATTTTTGCTCCAAAAAAACACATTAGGGCTTATTTTCAGTATGTGTTTTGTTTTTCATGTATTCAAATACAGTCATGTCATCTTCTGATTGCTGCACAATGGTGAAGGGCAGGGTTTCACTTAACTGGGGCTTATTTTTGGGGTAGGGCTTATATTACAAGCATCCTGAAAAATACTAGGGCTTATTTTCAGGTTGGGGCTTATTTTCAGGGAAACGGTAGTAGCCGCTCTTTAAGAAATCCATGTCAAGTTGTCCATACAACATGCTGCTGATTTAACATTTTAATCTCTTGTATTAGTAATTCTGGATGAAGGTGAAATGAACACATTTGCACAAAGATGCAAAAAATAAGTTTATACGTATGTGAGCAAAACAGTAATGATATTTAAAACAAGCAGTGCACAATACAGTAGGATTTAATGGTTGGATTCCAGCTTTCCATCCATGAAGGGAAGAGTTCACGTTCTCTGAGTGGGATACAGATATAGAATTAAATTTGTTACCAGCTACCTTTACAATAAGGTAGATGCATAAAAATACGGCTACCCTGTTATATCTGGTTTGGCTGTGTTGTATATATTTGTATATCAAAAACATCATCACCAATTAAAGCTTCATAGAAAATAAGTTCCACAAGTATTACCCACTGTTATAGAAAGAGAAGTTTCTTTTAAAAAGATAACCATTCATCTGAACTGTTACACAAGGCAAAAGAGTTTAGTTACGTTCATGGAAAATATACTTTTACAAAAGCAATACCTGTACTTTGAAACATGTAACACTTAACACTGTAATATTAAAGCCTTAATACCACTCAGGATAACTGGATTTCCAATGAAAAATACTCTATAGTGAGATGCCTGAAACAGGTCAAATATCAAAATCCGCTTAGAGAGTACAGCAGTGGCAAAATACATCAGTTTAACAAGAAATATCATGACATAGCTTTCCTCAATCTGGATTCTGATGTTTTCACCAACACCACTGGTGCTGATGGTTGGCCATTTTGGTAAAACATCTGCTGGGACCAAGACTTGTTTGTAAAGAACTGCCAGTGTGGAGAGAGTGCAGGATTCAGTAGACATTGCACTTTATAACACTTACAACACAATCCAAGTGGATCATGGCAGGAGAGAAGCTCTGTGCCAAAACTACTGAAACTTACCAAGCTCTACTAGCTTGTCAAAGCCAATGATAGAAAATTGTGTCAGGCCTGGGTCTGGTTGACATAGCTTGGATATCCTTTCCAGGAATTCACTGGGACAACAAAGAAACTGCAAAACACGATTTCAGCTACCGGTCAGCAGGATAGATACACATATATTAGAGGTGTGCAGTCCAAAAACTCATCACACCTCTAATATATATACTAGTTTCCATGAGTACAGTGGTCACTTGATATTATGCTCCTTCTCTGTGACAAAGTGTCACTTCCTGCAGCCCCCAGCTAGCCCAGTGCTTGCTGGAGGACTGTAACCACTAAGTACGGCCTTTTTTTTTTTAAAGCAGCCTAGCACTAAGGTTTTCATTTTTGATAGTTTTCTTTTATGGCTTAAATAGCTCACATAAGAAAAATTACATCTTCAAGTAGATGCTCACCTATGTTTTGCCACCACCCTAGCAATATTTTGTCATCAAATGATACTAGTATGTCAAACGATTCAAATACTGTCAACACTCAAGTTTTGTTCCCTTCTCTTTTATCCTGAGAAGACTGCACTGGTGGAGCCCCAACATCCACAGTAATGTTCATATACAGAGTATGTTTCTCCTTTGCCAAGAGTTTGAAGTCAAGAGAATTCATTCCATCATCTTTCCACGTTTTTCTAGTGTGCACTTCAGCAGGCCTAAAGGAAAGGGATAAGAACGGGGATTAGGAATGGAAGAGATACACAACTGCAACCCAAACAATGGTCACAATCCTCTTGCTCCTCACAAGCTAGCATGACAAGTCACAGTTAAGAGTAGCCCCAACTGAATCAATGAAACTTGAGGAGTTGACTCACTGAATGACTCTCCAGTTTCAGTGGGTCTACATCAAGCGCAATTTAATACATCAAGTAACAGGATTCTGGACACAGAATTTGTTTCCCTCTTTCAAAAGGCATGAGACACTTGTAAAAATGAGACCGAGACAAATTTCTAAGTCAGATAAGGTAGCTAGCAAACGCCACTGTACTTCATTTTTAGCATCTGTGTAGAGCTGAAAACTATGTTTTTGGAGCAGCTAGGCCTTGATGATTTAATGGTTTTTGCTCAGTTTGGTTATTTAATTAGATACACAATGGGTAAATACCTGCTCATGTAACTTTGCAGCAGCACAGGAAACATTTGTTGTATATTAAATAGTTCAGTCGTTTAGATATCTGGCTGTGGAGCCAGAGGTTGAGAGTTCCCATTTCCCACATTGTTTCCTATGAGGAGAGCCAGCCTGTGTGGCCTTGGGCAAGCTATACAGTCCCAGGGCACCTCCAGAAAAAGAGAATGGCAAACCAATTCTCTGTATTTTCTACCTAGAAAGGGTCACTATAAGTCAGAACTGACTTGATGGCATGCAATTATTATTACTTAAAAGCTCCCTATCTCCCTGTTTTAGGTCCTGATCTTCCCTAGGGCTCCCTTCTTCCCTAAAGTGAGCCTTGGGATGGGGTGGTGGCTTTATGTTTTAAAAAATGGCTGACAGCAGTCCTGACCCCAACAGCAGTGATCTGGTAGTGAATTTTTTACTTTTAAAGGCTCCCGTCCTCAGGGCAAAAGAGAGCCTAAAATAGGGGAATAGGAAGTTTTTAATTAGTATACATTAAATGTTCCCAATGCAAACTTGTACAATAGGATTTTGCCCATTATTTTAAAGTGCAAAGGATGCAAATTTTGATTCAAAGTTAATTATACTGGATGAATCTTGCACTACTGCCACATGTCTGAATTAGTTCAGTCAATAAGGATGAAGAATACACGCAAATTAGCATGCAAACAAGCAATGAAAAATTCTTTCCTTACTTTATATCCTTCCTAGGGCCAGAAACTTGTTTACCATCTGCTGATTTATATCGTCCAAGACTAAAAGGGGTCCTCTGTATTTTCATTCCTGCGATTTGAATTCTTTTGAAATGAAAGATATAATGGAAAAGAAAAGCAAAAGTATAGGGCATTTCAGAACAGAGTATCTAAACAGGAAAACATAGTAAGAAATATGCAGTGCAGTAAAACAATCAAGAACATTGTAAGGAAGACCATTCAATTTCTGTCCCACTGTGATTAAATATTTTCTGCAACACAGTGCCCCTGCAGACTAGCATTTTCAGGTTTGAATTATTTGCTCATTCTGGGTAGTTAATCAGGTCAAGTCATCCATGTACTTCCTGGTGCTACCATGGGAGACAGCTGAAAATAAAACTTTTCTTTGCCTACTCAAAAGTATTCACAGACTATGTATAAAACCTTAAGGGGTCAATGTTAGTACTGGCTTACATCACTGTAAGAACAATTTGAGCAAGTGCTCCTTAGATTCAGAAAGTATCTGCATCTTGAGTTTCTTCACACCTTTCAGAAGGTGGCCAAGTATGATTATGGTACTTATGATGTTCTTATCTCATAATGACTCCTACCATGTTATATATGCCCAAAACTGTCAGTGGTTTTATATTATTAATAGTTAACTTTTGGGCTCATTAGGAAATAAAGAGTTGAAATTTTCTTAATTTGAACACAGTGTTTCAAACATTGTTTGTAGCAGGGGTGGGCAAAATGCGGACCTCCAGATGTTGCTGAAATGCAACTCCCATAATTCCTAGCCCATACAGCCAATAGTGAGGAGATTTGGGCCTAGCCCACACAGCCAATAGTGTAAGGAGAGTTGGGCCTAGCCCACACAGTGAGGAATGTTGGGATTTGCAGTTCAGGAACATCTGGAGGGCCGCACTTTGCCCAGGTCTGGTAGAGTCTTCCAGTTAAACTTTCATAATTTATCAACAGTGCTGAATGATAAGAACAAAATATGAAGCTTTTATATTCAATGTGTAAGGATTCATAAAATGCTATAGCACAAAAGGTCTATAATAGTTTTTATACTTTTTATTGTGCATGAGTTTGCACAAGCAGAACATAAGAATATTTGTCTTGCTTAGCTTGACAGTTGCATTTGATTTCATCCCATCTGTTCAAGTGTACCTTTCTGCAATGTCATCATCTTCACCATTACGGGCCCAGTAGGTGTTTGGAAACCCATTTATCTTCAAGTAATGTTCTGGGCTAAAAGCAGTTACACCACCAAAAAAAGACCTATAGGGCACACTAGAGATAAAAAATAACAATAGGGTAGATTGTAAACAATCTTGCATTTTATTGATTAAAGCAAAGAACACATGGATTCACTATACAAATGGAATTAGAAGTCTTGTAACACCTTTAAGAATTGGCACATTTGTTTTGTACATGCTCTTGTCGACTGCAGGCTACTTCATCAGTAGGCTGCAGTCTACAAAAGTTTGAGAAATAAAACTTAATAGTCTTAAAGAAGCCAGAAGACTGCTGCTTGTTTTTTTTGGTGGAGTAGACACAACTATCCCCTTAGAAATCATACAAATGCCTATAATTATAACTTGACTGCAATCTTTTTCTTCTGTAGCACAAACAATGGCATTTGCTCTATGCAAATTTGGTGCTTGCTATTGTATTGGGATAGAAACGATTATCATATGCCATAGCAGAAATGATGAGAACACTGGTTACATAAAAGGTAACCTTAAGACTTAAGCGTGCATAAAAACTTACTTTTCAAGTTTCAGTATTGTTCTCTTTTCTATCCCACAGCTAGTGCTATGACCCCAACTACATTTAGTCCTATTCAAATAAACATGAATGATTTCTGAATAATTACTTTAATTTCAAGCTGAAATACTGCAATGCATTGTCCAAATAAATACCTTGCCAGTGGAATATTGTTGTTGCTTCCAACTTACGACAACCCTATGAATTAGTGACTTCCAAAGGCCCTACTGTTCTGCACAGCTCTTGTAATCCTTATACATTAAATGAAGAAACGTTTAATTCTCAGCAACTAAAAGTAATATAAATAGAAATAAAAATATAATACTTAGTGCTTTGTTACTCTACTATTCATCCCTACTTCAACACAGGTGAGTTTGAACACACTGGCTGAAATCCTATTGCTTAGCATAAGAAAATGTATAACTTTCAATCTGTTCATAACTGGCAATAAAAAAATCCCTGACATTATTCTTGGGAGTATGCACATACACATCAAGCCAGCATGCATGCCCCTGTGAATCATGCTGAGGACTCCTTATACATCAGCTAGAACACACTGAAAGTTAAAAATTTTTCTTATGCTAAGCAATAGGATTTCAGCCATTACACAGAAGCAGGAAATGGAAATCTAAAAATGATGCTAGGAGTTCCAGATACCAGTTAAAATATAAATTGTATATAAAATAATATGAAGCCCGGTATGATGTGTACTGGATAGAATAATGGACTAGGAGGCCTGGGTTTGAATCCGTACTCAACTAGGGAATCTTACTGGAGGTGTGGAACTGGTAAGACCACTCCTTAAATAATTCACTTACTCTGAAAGCACTGTTAGGGTCACTATGTTAGTTCTGACCTGATGGCTCATATCAACAACAATCTATAATACAATACCCATTCTTTCCAATTTATAACTACTGATTTAGGGGGAAAAAATGAGACAAAAAGCTCTTTGTAGCCAATGTTGGGTCAATTTTTCTCTCCCAAGAAGTACTAGTTCACATGGACAGGCTTCTTTAATGAATCTCAAGAGACTTTTTAAATGAGAATATTTACTCTTCCTTTATTGAAGACAATGTAATCATATGACTACCTGTAAAGAAACTTGTCAATGGCAGAGGCCATGAGTTTGGGGTATTTTCCATCACAGATGTAGAAATTATAGTCATTCTCTGGAATGAGATTCACATTGTGTAGAAGCAAGCAATCCCAGTCTTCATCTTTCAGAGCCTCACGTACTCCAATATTAAGGAGTTTTGCTCGGTTAAATGGACCATTGCCAGCCTGGAAAGAGAACATGTAATTCAGTCATAAAACAGACGAATGAAGTAATCAGAGGGTAGTGTCTGGCCATAACATCTGCAATGTCATGCTATTGTGACAGAGGTTTCTGACCCAAACTGACAGTGTTGATACAGTTAAGGACCAAATCAGACAGTTTATAAACCAGCATCTGTGAGGGAAGAGAAATTACAAGCATGCTGAACACCAGGAAGATCTCCAGAGATGGATTAACAAGGCTGAAGAAAGTGTAGAATAGATGATCACCAAGCAGCAAGACACTGATGTTAGACAGATAAAGAATGCAATGTGAGGAAAGGTACAAGGGAAACAATCAAGTTCTCAGCCAAGGTTCCAAGTATCTTCAATACTGGTACTACACCAAATTCATTATAGTTCAAAAGTGAAGATTCAGTGGTCAGAATCTGAAATGGGATTACAGTACTTACTCTGCAGAAAGTAAAGTAACATAAGTGGCAGCTGCATATAGCAGCTAGTTTAAAAGATGGTAGTTGTATGTGTACTGTACTTCGCTGCTACAAATTAGCATGTTTTCACTTGCCCCGGGGAGCAAAAACAGAGATTCCGGCCACTGAAATCAGGAATCTAGAGGCACTTTAGTGAAGGGCGTAAGTTCAATATGTAAAATGTAGAAGCCACTATTTCAATATTATGCAGGTGCATGCGTGCACTCACACATAGATGAAATAAAATTAAAAAAAAACTTCCCTGTCTCTAAGTGACTGGTATTGTTATGTGCCATCAAAAATTGTTAATTTATGGCAACCCTATGAATTATGTCCAAAATATCCTATTATTAACAGACCTGCTCTGATCTTGTAAATTAAATATATGGCTACCTTTATCAAGTTAATCCATCTCATGTTAGCTCTCTTTTCCTACTGCCTTTAACTTTTCCTAGAACTATCTTCCTTACTAATGATATTTTCAAAGTACAATAGCTTGTTTAGTCAACAATTCAAACCAACCAACCAACCACACACCAAACAATCATATGAATGGAGCACTAGTTTCATGAAAGGAACCATAAAGCAACAGGCTGAAAAAGGCTTCACTAACAGCATACTCCATGCCTGGCAAGAAGGAATGTCTGACATGGAATTTGGAAAGCTGAATTATCTTTGACATTTCCCTCCACAGAATATTTCAAACAAAACAGCTTTTAATTTTATGATGGACTTTTCAGACAATCAGGTATCACAGAATCATTAAGTTAGAAGGGGCTTAATATAAGGCTATTGAGTTGAACTCCCTGTAATACATTGCTATATTCAGTACTTAGTAGACAGATGTGTTACTGTGACTTACTCCCATCAGTGGCACCTGCTTTGTAATATGCTTTTGGTTTGACCTACCTGATGAATCAAGTAGATACAGTAGTGCAGCTGCTGACGTTGGAGGAAGGGGTGAAGATAATAGAGAAAGTGGCGTAACTGTTTCTCACGATTCCTGTATGGTACGATGACAGCTGTACCATAGCGAGCCACACAGTGTTGAGGGCGATAGCAGCCACCTAGCTGGACATATGGATTTTTGTCAATTATGTTTTTTTCACTGGGTAACATGTCAAAGGTGATGGTTAAGGGTCCAACTGTATGGGAAGACAAAATAGCAAGTTAAGGAGAGAGCAGACCACTATGAAATACTAGTTTCATAATCGTCGTTTAACTTCATTGGAATAAACCCTTCTGGTAAAATGACTGGTGGCATTTAGGATTGGAAATTAACAAAATACCTTTTTTTCTGGGGGAGAGTACCTCTCCAAAAATGCATGTAGAAACATTGGCTATGTTGGACATAAACTTTAAAACATAATTTAGCTTTACAACTATAAGGTTTTAGCTTATGACTCCCCATTCTTCTCCTCCTTCTGTGATTTACTAAACAGGCCACTTTATACAGTAGTTATGGTTTCTAGGAGACCTGGTCTGCTTAAGGAAAGGATGGTTAAGACAAACCATAGTTTGTCCAGATACAGACATCACAGCAAGTTGCAGTTCGTCTAACAGAAACACACGATTTAGAAGCACTTCCTCACAGTTACATCAGAGGAGGAATGGAAAGGAGAAAGGACGTAACTCTGAAGCTCCTGTGATTTTTATATCTGAACAAGACCATTATATCAGACTTGGACAAATATCAAAAAAAGCTCATCAATTACTTTCTTGCAAGATCTGTATGAACGTCCAGTTCCATATAGCGATTTCTTCAATATTTATAGAAAAAATGTAATGGTAGAATCAGTTCTTAAGTTGGCTGTCAAACTACAAACTCCATTATGTATACAATGCAGCTTCTCGGGGTCAGTAGAGTCACAGTTTTAATTAACATTTTTAAATTAAGTGTTCTGTTTTCATGATCAATAGAAGCCTTGATACCAGAGGCTGTTACAGAGTTATACACTGACCAACTATTTACTATTCTCATGGGCTGATCCTGCATATGCCAGGGGTATACCAATTGCTATAACAGCACATAGTTGAAGATGACATTGCACCAGCACAGCAAGGACATTACAGATGCAGATGTAAGCTGATTTACAGCCAAGGGGACAGTGTTATAGATGTGCTGTGAACTAGAATATCCCCTGAAGATTAGAGTAGCCCTATGTGAAGCAAACCAGTGGTTCCTGTAGCTCAAGGAAGCTGTTATTGCCATTGTACAAGGAAGAAACAGAAACCAGAAGAACATCTTTCTTGACTTCCTAAATAGCTGGAAGCGAAACCACAATGTGTTGTCACATGTGAGGAATAACACTTGGCTGTATAGTCAAGTGATCTATTTCAGTTTTATACATCAGATAAATATAATGACTTAGGATTAATGATGTTACCAATAAAGGCAAGTTGTAATTGGGGAAAATTAATGGGGAAATATTCAGAATAAAGGAAAAGTGGGGAAAATTCAAAGATCTTTAAGAAATATGAAATTCAAAGAGAATTTGCTAACAATTTCAATTAAGAGTTTCAGGGCTTCAGTATTATTTCAGATAAAAATAATGCCATGGCATGTGCCTAAAAATTGCAAAGTATTTTGGACTTGTGTTCCAATCTCACTCATTTCTATAGAAGGTTCTGTAAGGTATCACTTTATAAACAGACATTTATTTTACAATTCAGCACACAACTTGTATAGAAATGCAATTCTGTTCAAACACTAGACAGCAGCATACCTCAATAACTGGCCAGAGAATCTTTCATTTTCAAAAAAAAGCTAATGTGTAACTTTTTTGTGTATATAGATTTGTATTTTGCTATATTGCTTGAATTTAAACATTATATATTAACCTTTGTGAGCCAACCTTGAAGCCTTTGTGGCCAGACACAGGATAAAAATAAATCAATCTAAGCAGAACAATATAACCTTTAAAAAATCAGGATGATGCCTGACAGTATCTCCGAAGCCAAAATGGGAGAAAAGAAACAAAATTTCCAAAAGCATATAAAAACCCAAACTATATAAAAATTACTATGTTGATTATGAAATGGAAGATGGTATCCTATAAGTTAATTCCATGTGTATACCAGACTTCAAAAAGGATACAAATAGTGTTTCAAACTAGTGGCAAATCAATACATGAACATGCAATGTCAATTCACATGAAATGCCAGACCCTATGGTTGGTCTTCTCAGAAATGGGCCTTGTACTCATGAGCTCCTAGTGACGATTACTTTTTCTTGTCTTCCTTCAATAAATTAATATAATTTGCAGTCAGACTACATTAAGTCCATGTGGCGACTGGTCTTGAGAACAGTTCCAAATTGTAATAACTGAACTTACTTGGTTCTGTACATTTCCTTGAAAAGAAGAGAAAAAGTTAGATGAATGCAGGACTGCTCCTCAAGGCTTCCTGGAATCATGATCATTTTTCATGATTTTAATGTTAAAAAGCACTATGTACAATTGTTGAAATTACAATTACTTCAAGCACCAGGGGCCCTGGGGTATACATCTAGGAGTCTGTCCTTGCCATGGCACACTCTTAAATCTAGGAACTTTTTCTCACACATATATACTATTTCATACAGCAACATCAAATGGTACTAGCAGACGTACCGTAGGCTTCTATTTACTGGGATTTCCAAAGGCCAAGAATATGATTTGATACAAACAAATCAATGTGGTAAAAATTCAAGACAGAAATTATTTCTGTAAAAACTCACTAAATGAGTTGATGCTAAAATTCCTCTTAGCATCAGAAAAAAATCCAAGGCACAAAGAGAAAGGTTTAACGATAGATAATGAAAGAGGATGTAGAAGCTTTAATGGATTATACAGTTTATAACTTATGCCCAGGATAAAAATTAGTCAAGCAAACTGGTCAGCAAGTTTCAGTATCTGACCTGAAACTGAATCTGGCTTGCATTTAAACCCTAGAAAAGGGGCAAGATAGCTGGTCAAATTTATCACAAATTACAATCAATTTTCCATTTTGAGAAAAATTCATTAGTGATTATGCTGTTCACCTCTCAGCAGTAGTTTTAGCCTACCCACAGATTTCAGTTGTTCAGTGTAAATAAAATATGGCTGAGAAACAATATCATTTGGAAAATGAAATTCTCACTGGTGAATGAATTGGCAAATGAAATTTAAAGGCTACACAATTCCAGATAGACTGTTGTGAACAGTGTAATCCAATCCTATTACAGCTTGTGTACTGTATATAGCACGGCAGGATTTGATTTAAATCATGATTTTTAAATGTAAAGACTCATTCTTGCTGTTAATAATAATCTGGTACTGTATTTGCAACCAGATGAAGATTTCACATTTGGGATAATAACCTGTCAGATTAGTAAAATAGCTGTCAGAATTGATGTTAGTTTAATAGGTTAATCACTCATATTTAGAGAATTATTTAAATAGTTTTATTTAACTTAAAATGACATTATATAGCATACATATTCTTGTATTTGCTTAAATATCAAGGTTTTTTAACTGAAGTGGATAGAGAACATATCTTTTAAAAAACATTCTTCCAACAATATTCAAACATAACATTTAAAGTACAGTAGGAAATCTCCTATACACGGGATCAGAATCTGCTGATTTGCTTATCCGCTGCCAGAAAATACTAAAAAACTCCCTTCCCCTGAAATACTGTACATATTTATATGTATTTTCAAGGTGTATTTACTAGAACTGGCCACTAGAGGGACCCAGAGACCATGCAATGTACATATAGTGTTCACTACATTCATGGTTTTCGGCATCTGCTGGCAGGTTTGAAACCAATCCCCTGCGGACACCATGGTCCTATGTTCGTGTTTGTACAAAGATTTGCATAACAATGGGATTAAGGTATTTTCCTGAACTTTGTTTATTTTACACAATTTTTACTGTGAAAAGGTGCATGATAGCTTGGATAACTTGGATTAATTGAATTACTTTAACAAAATTATAAATATTGCATGTACAACCTCATGTTACATAGATAAACTCTATTTCATGCTAAATAACTTTGAACTACAAGTATCTTAAATAGAAAAGTATACTTGGATAAGATTTTTCCTCCAAAAGCATTTCATTGAAATAAATCTGATTTAAATAAAACAATTTAAATTTTAAAAATCCATTTTTTAAAAATCATCAATTTTAATCCATCCTGGTATATAGAAATATCATTATCAACTTTGAAAAGAGAAACAAACTGAAACATTGCTTTCTTTTGGCACTGGTGTATTTATTACCTTGGAGTTCAAATTTCAACAGCTTATATATGTTATGTACATGATGTTATGTTTGGCGCTTCAAATATCAAGAGTGGTGCTAAAATGTGAAAGGTCAAAGCTCTGAAAATGATATGCTACATAGGGAGCAGAGAACAACTGAATTAAAACGGATTAATCAAGGGATAAAAATGTTACATTTTAGATGATGTATATGTTTTTCTATATCATTTAAAACAACTTCACATGAACTTCATTATCAATGACTTTCCACCCCCTGTTTTGTGGCAAAAAAGTGTGTCTTATGGTGCAAAAAATACGGTATATGTTTTTCCATATCATTTGAAACAACTTCACATGAACTTCATTATCAATATTAATTCTGAAAAACTGATGACAAGGGGGAGCCTGTGTTACTCTAAAAACCACACCAACTAGGAGTGGAACCCTTAAAAATAGATCTTACTAATAGTAATTTCCCTTATGAGCACAGAAGAGTTCTAACCACATTTGAATAATCAGTATAAATAGTAAGTACAATAATCTTCTTAAAAGCAGCAGGCAGCATCTTACAGATCTTAACCTTCAATAATATAGAAATTTAAGTTATTTCTTCTCATTAATGAGATGCTCATACATATAGTGCATACAGAAACAGAATAGAATCTGTTCCATGACATACCGTATTTTTCGCTCCATAAGATAATGAGATGCTCATACATATAGTGCATACAGAAACAGAACAGAATCTGTTCCATGACATAAATAAATCACCTGGACGTATACTTGTTTTCCAAGGACTGAACATTTTTAAACAATGTAAATCTCACTGCAAACTTGACAGCTTAACCAGCATTGAATCAAGACTCAAACGGGCAAAAACTATATATTTCTTGGCTAACACATGTTTGCAGTGGTAGATTAACAACACAACTCCATATCTCAGAATCTGTTCCATGACATAAATAAATCACCTGGACGTATACTTGTTTTCCAAGGACTGAACATTTTTAAACAATGTAAATCTCACTGCAAACTTGACAGCTTAACCAGCATTGAATCAAGACTCAAACGGGCAAAAACTATATATTTCTTGGCTAACACATGTTTGCAGTGGTAGATTAACAACACAACTCCATATCTTTCCCTCCCCACTCTACCTTGGCAATATGATTGTCTTCAGACACAGGCTCTCTCCCTGGCTTGCACACTTCTACCCTTCTCTTGCCTTCAACAGTCACAAGGAAATCATGCAGTTGTACTTTAGTTTTGAGTTTACTGCAGCTTAGTGTGTATCTATAATTTCATTACTGCAGGCAACATATGAGTTAATAACCTCCAATATATCCTAGCATTAACAGCTCTGCCCAGATTTTGCAAACCAATAGACCATTTACAAAGTGACCCCAAGTAAGGGAAAATTCCAAAAGCTCCTTTCCCCCCCTCAGTTAACCAACCACATCTCACCCAAACACAATGCAATTGTCATGGCTGTTTTTCAACAAACATGAATGGATTAAGCATAAGAGGATATCATCTTGATGTGTAGACCATCTCAACTACTGTTCCTGGTGTCAACATTCAGGTTGCCCTTTGAAATGTAGTGCCTGGCATCCTTTTTCTTGCTGGCAATGCAGGCACAATACTTGTGCATCAATATCAGGTCATTTTCTGGCATTTTAAATCATGAATGCAGAAGCACAATATCCCACATTCATAAACCAGAAGTTTTTTTTTAATTGAATGTATAATCTGGGGGGGGGGGGAAGAATGAGAATAATCCATAAAATTTAGCCAAATGCAGAAAAATTATCACCTTCCTCCTCTTTCTTACTCTTTTTTAAAGATAAGAACTATCTTTTTCTGCTTACTAATTTTTATGGAAGCCTACAGATCTATTTCAAACCAAAAACAAAAATGCAGAGTACAGTACAGGTATTCAACCATAACAACTATCCTTATCTTCAGAATACTATGCAGAGCATTATATTGGCTTTCCCCCCTTATATATCCACAACTTTGAAAGCTTTCTTGGTTCTGGCACACACCACTTTAATAAAAATGGAGATGGAAATAAATCTGCTATCATTTTTACAAACCTAGTTGACTCAACTGTGCTGATTTACCATGTAGTAGCAGGGAAATCAACCACTAATGTATCCTACCAGCTATCTCTATGGCAACAAGCCTTTTCTGCAGACAGTTCCAGCTGATGGCTAGCAGAGTGATCACAGTTGTTGCCACACTGCTTTGTCTTGGAACACTGTTCAGCTCAGGGGCCCTAGACCACCACCAGCAGTTGCTGTCATTTGTGTTTGGCTCATGAAGTCCAATTCTGGATTTAAAAACCAGACTACCAATGACCCAACTTGTAACCAGCAAAATAGGTGTCTTCAGACCTCCTTCCCAGATCTGAAAAATTTATGAAAGAAGGAAAAACATACAATCCAACCAACAACAACCAACTTACCAGCCAAACTCAGTATGATTCTATACATAAATGACACAAATGAGTAACTTCAGAAAACAGTCAAAATATTAGACTAACATAGAATGAGTCTTAAATGCTTCCACATAAAGTCTCAAATGCTGATCACATATTGTACCACATTTGACAAACAGAATAAAAACTACAATTAAGCTTTGCTCAGAACGTACGTTTCAGGAGGAAAGGAAAACAAATCTTGCCACCAAACTACATCAGAATATTCTCCGATCACTACAGAAACCACAATGAATTCTTTACAAGGACTGAGTTATGCAGAAACACCCAAGTGTTGCAGTGCATTATCTGGGGGAAATCACATGATTAAAATTGAATACTTACCTAAACTATGATTCAATCAAATCCATCCTGATACCTACCTAAATTATGATTTTAATCAAATCCATCCTGTACCCTAGTTGGGTTCTACAACAATAGATTTGGCGCTATATTTTTGTACATAACAGCTGCAAAAGGACAAGAGCTAGATTTGCCATTCAAGGGAACAGCTGAAAGTAACACTGGCATTAGGTTCTGGCACCAAGTCAAGACATATTTATTAGAGCTTTTGGGACTGAGGATCATGGCCTACGCAGATTTTAGGGCAATGCTTTTAGTGCAATGTTCCATGTATAAATTTTTGGAGAAAGAAACTCAAGTCTGAGAATTTCAAATTTTTCTGCTATTTACAACTGAGTATTATAGGAGCCAGAAAGAATGAACTAAACAATATATACTGTATATAGAAGCCTGTGAATCCCTCCCCAAAAATGGCAGTTTGAATCAAAGAACTGATGGACCCTATTTATTAAACTACCCCCTCCTATTTGGAGCACAAGGGCATTTGTGTAAGCATATCTCCATTCTGTATGAGAGTCCCCTTGACTGCAACATCAAATATATCCATTCCGAAGGAAATCAACCCTGAGTGCTTACCGAAAGGACAGACTCTGAAGCTGAGGCTCCAATACTTTGGCCATTGCATGAGAAGAAAAAGACCCTCATGTTGGGAAAGTGTGAAGGCAAGAGGAGAGGGGGCAACAGAGGACAAGATGGATGGACAGTGTGATCGAAGCTACCAAAATGAATTTGACCAAACTCGGGGAGGCAGTGGAAGACAGGAGGGCCTGGCGTGCTCTTGTCCATGGGGTCACAAAGAGTCGGACATGACTAAACAACAATCTTCATTCTAGGAGGCCCCTTGTTGCATGATTGATCACGCAGCTAATCTTGCAGGAGGTGCAGGACTGAGCAAGTACAGAGGAACCTGCTAGAACAGGGGTATGTTTACATGATCACACTTCTGTGATTGCATAATGCAACAGGATACTGAATAACAAGAGTATGTTCTCTCATAACACAGTTATCATTTACAATCCCCATTCTTTTATAAGATTTGAGTGATAGCACAGTTTAAATTAAAAATATCATAACATGGAACTTTCTTTTAAAAGAAAAAAGGATTTAAGAAATCAACCAAAATTTCATTTAAATCTAAAAAGTTTTTTAAAGGTTTATCCAATATGAATATGAGTTTTGATAATTTCTATGCTATTCCATTATGGCTGACAATACAAATCTCTATTTAAACTATTATCTCTACCTCTATTTACAATATAATCACTTATTACTTCTTCACCTTGAAGCCTTTCAAGTAGCTCAAAACAGCAACTACTGAGTCCCAATGAGACATAATTCTATTTTAATAAAACTTTTATGCAATAATGAGGTGTCTTCTGGCACACATCACAATATTTGTACATTAAATTAGTGTGTGTGTGTGGGGGGGAAATCTATTCTCTGATCAAAGCCAAAGCAAGTGTGGTTGACAAAGAGGGAAAGAATTTTAATATGAGAAAAGAAAGAGAAATATTGTTCAGTTTTGTTTTAGTAGTATTTTTTGTTTACAATGCCAGTATTGGAAAAGCATCAGAGAATGTAGTATATTTTTGTTATTTTTTTAAAAAAAGTCTAGAAGCTCTCAATTTCCATATTTTTAAATACTAAAGAACTAATATAAAATTAACATTAAAAAGACTGCTTTTGCAAATCTAAATTGACTAAGTAAATAAAATGGTAGGCTTCTAGTAGTGTTGGGATATTATTTCCTCTCCTTTGAATACCTTAATGGCATTCAAAGCCTGCTTTAGAGAGTTTCCCAACTCTACAGATCAGATTTTTGGGGTAAATGAGAGTGCAGGAGAAAAGGCAGCTTCTACCAGCAGAGGCACCCTTCGCTGTATGCTGGCTAGAATCCTCACATATAACCTACATGTGTTGATCAAATCATTAAGCTGCAATGACCTAAATCAGGTTATGACAATGAAACAGAGACAGAAAAAGGATTCTTATCAAATAATAATCAAATAATCATGCATCTTTCCCCCATACATACCATTTATCAATGTCTGTGATGTGCAGTCTTGCATAGAGGTGTTATCTGTGCCACGAATGTACAAACTGAGATTCGTATAGACATCCTCTGTTTTTGAATAGTCCAGTGGCCTAGGTATATCTAAATGATCCTGAGGCACAACTGAAGTGCTGCCTCGGTACAATATTAAGATAAATATTGCTTGAAAGATTATCAAGAAAACCAGGAACCAGCGATTTTCAACTTGAGAACGAGTCATTTTCCTTCCAAATACCATGTCAGCGCTGCCAAATATTTAATTCTTCAGGACACACCAAAGTTTTTATTTCATGAATACAGCAACTTAATGCAGAAGTATGCTCTTGTTGCACAGCTCAGTAAGAAAGGCAGCATCTTTGGTAAGTACTTTACATTCTCAGCATGCTATTATGAACCTCACATATTATTCTAAATCTTAACCATCTTCTGTGCATCTTTGTCCATTCTTCCATTCTAAATCTGCAATATGAGAAAAGAAATTATATGTGCTAACAATATACAACCTCATAACAACTGACTCTTCCAATGGAATGCCATGACATTTAAACAATGCCTAGGAATATTATGGTCTAGATGGGGTTACAGTCCCCTAAGAAGGATCAGGTTCACAATTTGGGTGTGCTCCTGGACCTGACAGTAGTACAGTATATAGTTTTCTTATATGTTTACATTATATTACTGTAAGCCACCCAGAGTCATTAGATGGGTGGGATAAAAATTTTAAAACATAAATAAATGAGAAATGCATCCTCTCCTATAACAAGAGGTGGGCAAAGAGGAATTCTAGGTGTTGTGGCATTAAAACACTCAGCATTCCTCACCAATGGCTATGCTGGCTAGAGCCAGAGTCTGTCCAATAACATCTAAAGATCCTCACTTTGCCTTAAAGGGATTGCTTGACAGCATTTTCATTTCAATTTTCTGCCTGTCTCATATTTGCCTATACTGTGGAAAGTGATTGAAACATTGTTTTTTGCTCAGAATCCTATTACTGATTTATTTCATAAAAAGTGTCATGACACAAATTGCAATGACCCTAATTAATCTCAGTTTATACTCCTTGTTGTGCACTAAGTCATGTAACTGATGCACAATGAGGAAAAAAAGTGGTGACTCGTTAACAACAGTTCATTGCTGCAATTTATACCACTGCACTTGAGCCTGTGTAAATAAGAAAACAGGATTCTGGTCACTGAAAGAAAATATAAAAAAGAAGTGTGGTTACAATATATTAGGATAAGAGACCAGCTTATTGTTTCCACCCACAATGCATAATCCTAAAGGTATTTTTTTCAGCAGTAACTGTTATCAATTTTTGTGTCTTAAAGAGATGCCATACTGTAGCATTTTAAAAGATGTCAAAACAGGTGACTCTCTCCTGCCCTTCAACTATACTGTGGAATTAAAGAAAAAGCATTAAAAACTAACAGTCAGCTATTCATTGATAGTGTGAATTTAATATGGATGCTAATTTTTTGTCTTTTCTATACCTTTGGATTTTTGAAATACATATGAGTGAAAATCAGCATGTTCCCCATCCTCCAGTACAGAAAAAAAGTTTTATTCAAACACCACAATTTTTACAGCTCAAGTTTATCCTGTGTGGAAATCTGAGTCCCTACACATTTTTTTAAAAAAGCTCCCTTTGCAAGTCCAGTTCAGTTCATCATTCCTATATACAGTAGATGGAGTAGGGCTAGGATTGTAGGAGTGTAGTTTACAACCGTCTTGCAATGCTGCACAGCATTAGAATGCCCATTTCGTAAAGTACAAATAATTCTAGAATGAAGTACATTTTTGTGTGTGGTATATATAGTTCACTACCCTGGCAATTTCCCTCCTCTATTCCTCAGCAAAACCAGATAACGTGAGGGGTGGAGAATTGCTAAATTACCACCAAAAACAAAAAAATGGAAGGAAATTTATTTTGTACAGAACAAAATCCTTCCAAAACAAGTTAAACTACAGCAAAACCCCGTTTCCCTAACCATGTATTAATTTATTTTTATCGTGTTTTTAATATTCTTTCTTACAATGTTGTTAGCCGCCCAGTGTGGCCTGGTTGCCAGATAGTGCGGGACAGAAATTCAAATAATAAACAAATCGCGTTACAATCCCCACCTCAAATCTTGCATCGAGGAGACTAGTGCTCCTAGGCGTTGCAGCCAAAAGGCCCTGTGTGTATGTGAAACGTGCTTACCTTTTTTAAATTAAAATTTCCACACCGTGGCATAAAAACCCGAGGTATTAAGTACTGCTCCTGTTACGCAGGAGGACAAGATGAATACACACGGTTGCCCAATCCACCCCGGCGCTAAAACCTCTTCTTTAACTGAAAAGTCTCTATGGCTCGCTCGCTCCCTCCCTCTTGCCAAAATATAAAAATAAAAATGAAGTTTTGCGTGCCTTTCCTGGGAAGTCCAGAGGAACCTCGAACAGGACAGGGCGAGTGGAGCAATTCAAGAGTACGACAGAAAGGTCGAAAAGGTCCACTTTGGGTGCCCAGCCCAGCCCTTCTTGGAAGGGTGAGAAGGGGCTCGCCCTGAACCCAAATTCCCCCTCAGGCGGCCCAACCACCTGCGCGCCCGCCGACCTCTGGCCAGGGACGAACAGGTGTGCCCCGGGAGGGGGGGCAAGAAAAGATGGGACCGCTCACCTGAATTCCCGAGGGGGGGCACGCGAACCCCACTTCCGCTCAAGGGCGGCCGCGGAACACGCCCCTTTCCCCCCTTATTAGCGCCGTCGTGTTTTGCATTAAAAGGGTTGCTCGGACTACAATTCCTAGGGTAGCGCAAGATGTCTACAACGCTCCGCCCCGAACATTGCATGCTGGGGGTTGAAGTCCAAGCGGGCGTGCCCTCTTCAATTGGGAGGGGAATGATTGCATAAGCGCTTGTCAGGCACAGCTTTGCTGGCAGGGGAGTACAGTAGTCCTGGAAGTCTCACCTCCTGTATTTTTCTCTAATAGGATATGTTTTATCCTGCTTTTGTTTATTTTACGCTGGTTCTTTAGGTTTGTCCATTAAGAGAGGATGGAATTTTTTTTAAAAAAAGAACCCTTTATTCTTTGTTGTCAATTGAGAAATATATAATTTTTTTTTAAAATACAGAGGTACCAGCAAAATATCAAAGGAAGGGAGACCCGTATGTTTGGTAACACTTGATAACTATAACGAAATAGAAGAGAGGCATACAAATGGGATAGCAAACTGATTTTTTAAAAAAGAAAATGCTAATGCATTTCATTATGACATAAAGCAGATCTCCTACCTATAAATGCAGTTGTTAGGAAGCTGAAGTTGATTACTAAATCCCAGCTTGCTATACAATATGTGCAGAAGTCCAGAACAGCTGAAGCAATAAGCAGAATTTATTAATTTTTAATGTATATGCTGATTTTCTCCCAGAACAGGGGCTCAAAGTGACTTACAAAATAATTTAAAACAGCAGATTAAAATGCAATTAAACCACAAGCATTATAATATGTATTTATTTTATTTATTTATTTTATTAGCATTATACCCCGCCCATCTAGACTAAAGGTCTACTCTGGGCGCACCTTTAATTGAGTTAAATTCAATTATAGTGCTAAAGTACAATCAAAATTTAAAGTCACTTGATTCACAAAGAATGAAGAGGTAATTTTTTAATGTCTCAGAGCCCACAAACTAAGCTTTGGAAACTGTCCCTGCATGATACAAAGTTATAAATGTTACTTTTTGTACTACAGATCCCAGAATCCACAGCCAGAATGGCCACAGTATGTGCTGCTAGGGAATTCTATGAATTGTACAGAAAAGCAGTATTTCCAAGCTCTGTATAAGATAAACAATAACTGATAACTGTTATTTCTGTGCAAAGCAATTAAATGCATGATATAAGGTATTCATAAACTTAGGGTGCAAGTGGAATTACTTTATATAATTTAGGTTCTTATTCAGCTTATTAAATGACTTCTGTTTTGACACACAAATGACGTACTGGAAACTACTAACAAATATCAGCATATTTGTGTTGCTCTTGTGGTCATTGTCTCGTGAACTTTGGTCTTCCTGATTTAAAAGGTGACAATAGAGCTTTTAAAAATTAACTGTCTCAACTGAAGCGTGCCAAGGTATGTCCCATGCATTATCTGACCTCATCTGCAGCAGCACTGGAGAAAGGGGAGGGAGGAAAAATTCAGCGTTGGGTTGAATTTTAAAGAACCAAGCAGCAGGCTGTTTTCACAGCCAAAATTCTGTCTTTCTCCTTTTTATGTGTCTGCCTCTGAAGTTAAACTGATGCATTTTTATTTTATTTTATTTTTTTAAAATGCAGCTAAGCACAGTCTTCAACAGAGCTTGAAATTAAGTTTGGGCAAAGAATCGTGGATATCTGGAGGAGGTGTTAGCTTCTCTCCCCCATGAGTAACCATGAAATATAATTTCTCTTCGAATCAGCCTTGAACTTGATGAAAGAAAGGACAAAAAGTCATTAGATCACTTGCTGCACAATCCTGCCTCTTCTTATCCATGTCCTCCCACCAGGTTGATAACAAGTTGGTGACTCCATGCCAGACTTGGAACACCTTAGTGGCCTGTCAAGCTGCTGCTGGTGACTGCTCCAGGGAGGGGAGGGGGAGAGCTGACGCTGTTGGTTTTCTCTAGGATGGACACTTGCACATTATCCAGAAAGAGGGCGTGTTTCTCAAAGAAAGAAATAATGTATGGTTATAAAATAAATCACTAATATGCATAATTTTGCATATGGTAATTTATATGTGTATGTGCAAATATATATATATCCCAAAAAATCAAAAACCATGCTACTTGGACCTGTGCAATTCAATGCAGAAATGTTGTTGATCTTCCTCCTTTAGTATAAAATCAGATTGGGCAGACCTTCAAATACATGATACTTTCAAAGAAGGGGATTGTAAAAGAGGACATTTAGTCACCCTAGTAGCCAGGAGAAAGGCTCCAAAAGGGCTATTCTAGGAATGGAGGTGGCTTTGAATCTTCCACACCAGATCCATCCCGTTCCTCCAGATGAGACCTGATCTGTGTGCTGCTTGGCTGTGCCAGCCCCAAAGCCTGGCAGGTGACAAGAGATCCACTACTCTTGATTCTTTCAGCACGATTTAGGAATGCTTTGCCCAGGGGTGTTGGCTGTGTCATGGGGGAGCAGATGAAAAGCTTTAAAAGATTCACTGGCATCTCTGCCAGGTAACAAGGGCAGACTCAGCTCCTTCATGAATGTAAGTACAAGGGGCATCCACTGCAATAGAATGTTGTGGAGTATGCTCATTCTGTTCTAAAAGTGCTCCTTTGCAAGATGACAGCAAGACAGCTGTAAGGAATTCTGGCAACCCCTTATATTCTTCTTTGTCCTGGTTTTCCATTTCAGCGGGCAATCACCATTTCATGGCTAAGCAGCTTCAGTCCACGTTGCTCTGCTTTGGTCAGATCTCACTTGGAGTATTGTGTCCAGTTCTGGGCACCTCAATTCAAAAAGGATGTTGACAACCCAGAATGTGTCCAGAGGAGGGTGACAAAAATGGTAAAGTTCTGGAAGCCATGTCCTACAAGGAGCAGTTTAGGGAGTTGGGAATGTTTAACCTTACAAAATAGAAGGTTGAGAAGTGACATAATAGCCATGTTTAAATATTTGAAAGGATGTCATGTTGAAGAGGGTTTGTTTTCCAGGGCTCCAGAGACTAGGAGAAGGAGCAATGGTTTCAAACTACAGGGAAAGAGATTCCATCTGATTATTAGGAAGAACTTCCTGATGCTCAGAGCTGTCCGGCAGTGGAATAGGCTGCCTCGAAGGGTGGTGGAGTCTCCTCCTTTGGAGGTTTTTAAGCAGAGGCTGGATGGCCATCTGTCGGGAGTACTTTGATGGATGTTCCCGCATGGTGGGGGGTTAGACTGGATGGCATCAGTGGTCTCTTCCCTGACTCTAGTTTTGGGTGAGGCTATTCCCAGCTTTTCAATGAAAAAAAAAGTTTTAAAGTTTAGTATTTTGCATACTACACACATAATAGTACCTGTAATTTTTTTCCAATGGCTCTTTTTTGTGGTTTCAGTTTTGATGTTTGTCAGTCACCTGATTTCACTAAGATGAGTGTTTGTTTGTTTGTTTGTTTGTTTCTCTGATTTCACTAAGATGAGTATTTGCTTGTTTGTTTCTTTGTTTGCATACTGCCCCACTAGTGCTGAAGCACTATTCTGAGCTGTTAAAACAAACCAGCCAGAGCAATAAACATAAAATATAGCATAAATATCAAAATCAAAGTTTTAAAAACTTAGCAATCAATGTTGTTAAACCAGTCTTCGAAATGAGGCCAAGCTGGAGGAAAGACACTCAGCTGGGGTTGATGTGAAAAGCCTGCCTGCAAGGTAGTGCTTTCCACTACCTCATGAATTAGTACAGGGAATGGGCCTGGCCCAGCTCCTCTGGAAGTTGATTCCACAACCTCTGTGCCACCGTCAGGAAGGCCCTACCTCTAATAGATGACTTTTAGGCCTATCTCAGGGTGGCTACACACAGGAGCCTGGCCTGAGAAGATGTGGTGGGTCGAACAGATGACATTGGGGAAAGACACGCTGACAGGAAACGTGGTCCCAAACCATGGAGAGCTTTAAATGTCAGTGTCAGAACCTTGAACCTGATCTGGGACATAACGATTAACCAGTGAAGGGTGGTCAGCACTTGGGTGATGTGATCAAATTTGCTCACACCAACCAATCAGTCTGGCTGCTCTGTTCTGGACCTGCTGTAGTCTCCGGGACAGTCTCAAGGGAGGCCCCATGTGGTGAGCACCGCAGTAGTTAATCCAGGCGATGACCAGTGTCTGCACCAAAGTTCCAAGGGAGTCCTCATTTAGGCAGGGGTGGAGTTGGGCGATAAACCTAAGCTGTAACGTTTCTATTCTGCCTTTTCTATAGCAGGCTCAAGAAGGAGTATGTTGCTCTCCAGCTCCCCACATTTCCCCACAATAACCCTTTCAGGCAGGTCAAGCTGAGAGGGTGTGATTGGACCAAGGAAGCCCAGTGTTCCTTTAATCATTGAGGAGTAGCACTGGGTCGCCAAAATCCCACTCCACCACTGGAACCACTGTACAGCACTACATTTGCTCTTGAGGATACTAAGAGTATGTCTCCCTAATCTGTTCTCACAGTGACATTCTCTGTAATGTAGAAAGATCATTTCTATTTATTTGGCTTCTAGATTTCATGATGTAAAACTCCTGTATAAATCTATCCTGGTTGCTTCTTTCATCAAGATCTATTTCCAGCCATCAAAACACACACATTCACAGGGAAATCTGTCCCACCAAGCAAAACATAGGAAACATATTC